GTAACCGAACGAGACGGAATGGTTTACCATATAATTAATCACTCCTATCCGCTTTCCTTTCCCCCTACTTTTATTAAATATAAATCTGAATCCGAATGAACAAGTGAGTATATTATCAAAACTAAGGAAATAAATTTTAAAAACACGCAAAATATAATGATATAATACAGTTACTACTTCTGATGGGCTGGGGTGTAGGGGAATCGCTGAGCGCAGTATATCATCATCTACAATATGTTTTCCAGCTTTTCATTATAGGGTGAGGGGTATTTCAAAATTTAGGGGTGATAAAACTATTTGTAACTTATAAAAATATGTTGTGTATTTGACAGACAATCTACGCTTATAAATATGCCATATTCTATATTTCTAGAATACAGTTATACTTGAGTTAGGAATTACAGTGTGATGTCACACATCAAAGTTATTGGGGGCTGTTCAAAATTTTAGGAACGATGTTCACCCCCTAAAAGGGAGATGTATGGGAATCACTGATCATCTACAATCTATAATGGTGAAATGTGAACACTTATACATAAAATCTGCGAGCGGTTTGAACTTTCATGCCATAGTTGCTCATAAATTTATTATCTTCGTCACAAGGATATATTTCGTAACAATGAATGTTGTGCAGCGTTCGTTTTGTAATAATTAGCCTACCGTTAGTTGAAATGATACAGAAATTGGAAATCGCAGGTGCGTCATATTTTAAGGTTTAATGAGTCGATTGTGTCGGCGGTATTTTATGTGTCCCGCATGCTACCGGAAATGTGTATAATTGGCCCTGTAGTTCATAAATTTTGCTATAAATGCAGAACAGTGGTTCTCAAACGATGGGTCGGGCCCCACAAAGAAGGCGTAGACTATTTTTTGAGAGGGTGTGAAGCTAAATAAAAATATTTGTTAGGTTTGATCTTGCCCGCCTTATTTTGAATAGTTTCATTTTTAAATTTGGATATTTACGTTTCCTCCACGTATTTTCAAAGTGTTTTTTGAATAAAACATACATTCGCCCTACGACCTTAATTAGTAGCTTATTGGTAGCTCGTTATTTTTGAGGTGGGGTGAGAAGCAGGACGGCCAAATAGAAAAATAACTGGATAAAACCGCGGGTCGCATCTTTATTCAACATAGGCTTTCTAGTAGTTGCAAGCACAAAAAGTTGGCTATTAATTTTGTGACAATGCTTAGTTTACACAAACTAGCTGTTAGTTAAGGCATTGTAAAGTCATAGGCATAGATAATAAATCGGACACAGGTAAAGGCTTCGCAACGCAAAAGAATTGAAATCACTCTCACGTACCAAATTAATTTAAAAACTTGTTTCGCGGGCCACACATTTCAAAATTGGCATTTCTCCTCGGCCCGCACAATATGTCCTTGAGGGCCACATTTGGCCCACTGGCCGCAAGTTGCACACTACTGCTTTCTGTTATTAGGAGTTTGTTTAAAACACCAATTAGATTAAATATTCTCTTTAAATGTCCAGGACAAAGTCACGAAAAAATGATTGAAAACGATTTATTAGAATATTGAGGCTCATGTGTGAATTATGGCCGTGAAGTTATTTTAAAACAATGCTATCTATTGCTAATTAGACACTCAAGACACAATTGTGTAGTTTTTTAAGTTATAAGGTGCATGTGTAAAACTGCAATTAGAGTTAAATATTCCCTCCAAATATTTCAATAAGTTATGTCCAGGACAAAGTTACTGGATGGAATACGGGTAATCCCGGAGTATGTGAACCAAGATGGCGGACACCGGAACGTAGTATGTGTACCAGGTTAGGGTTAGACCATAATTTTATTCCAATTATCCTTGTTTTAGTTCTATTACAAGTGCGGGCACTAGCCAAGAGACTCCCAGCCTTTGTACCTGAAATCATGGCCTAATTCTAACCTGGTACACATACTACGCTTCGGTGTCCGCCATCTTGGTTCACATACTTCGGGAGTACCGGAATACGATCTACTTTGGGAAAAGTTTGGAACAACTCACTATTAAACAAAATCCCCATACAAAATTTATAATAATAACCCCACAAGCCTTCCAACAGGGCAGCGACCAGAAGTTTAAAACAGTCTTTTTTACAGTTGGCCAAATGTAACTATAAATTGTAAGAGCAAGGAACCAAAAAGCGAAAATACAACCCGATTCGTCTTCAGACATTTCTGGTTCGGGGAAAAACGCAAGCGGCCTTTTGAACATTTCCCAAAGAAAATATGCCACTGATTTATATCTGAGCTTCAGGTAAAATGGCGTTGAGTGATTCATTGTACGAATGATCCAAAGCAATACATTGATAAAATAGAGTGTTGTGAAATCCTCAACTATATTTGGTTTCTGAAAAAAAAAAAAAGAATCATAAGTGCAACAATTTCACATTGTACACGTGGCTCTTTCTATTAAATTCTGGTTGCGATTTACTTAGCAACTAATGAACTAATCCAAAGATGGATCGTAAATGATGAGAGGCCCCCAGTGTTCCATAGGCCCGGGTTGTCTTATCGGCTCCCCTCTCCCAAGAATACATATGATAATTGTTTTTAGGTGGACAGTTTTTAAATAATATGAATGAAAACAACTACCTGAGCATCAAGCAACCGGATAATTGTATTATTCATTTGAATTTCTCCAGAAGGTGTTGCCGGACGATGAACTTTGCGACAGACTGGACATATTACTCTGTAAAAATGATATCGTAGTAGTTTGAAGAAAATTCGCTTTCACGTTTTTTTTTTTATGGTTTTTGGATATATTTTCACGTCTTTGCAAGATTTTCTGTGGCTTTTGACAGTTGTTGGTGGTACTTACTCATTCGGTTCTATTATATCATCAATGCAACCCCTGCAAAATGTGTGCTGACATGGAAGCATTCTCGGTTCTCTCGACCCAGTTGTTTCAAATCTTGTTTGACAAGAAGAGCACTTCAATACTTCATCCATAGTTTATTTACTTGCCAGGCTATGATTTTAATGCTATTTCACAAAAGAAGACATAAAGATAAACTGAAAAAAAAAGATAAAAACAAGCTAAAACTCCCCAAAATACTTCATTTTTTTTTAAAATATAGCTCTAAATTTTGACACAAAACTCATTTATTTGTTGAAATTAAATCCGATTTTTCTTTTTTAGTCCTATTTGAGGACTGTCTGTGTTGGCCAAGAGAATATGCCCCCTGTCCATAGATTTCAGTCCCTTTACACAACTTGAAGAAGAAGTTCAAGCCAAAGAAAACATTTAGGTAGTAAGTTCTTATACTAATTTCCTGATTTGCTTTCTGTTATTTTGCTTATCTTGCGTTAGGTTAGTAGAATAAGCAGATTCAGGTTACTTCTCACGGGTGATTTCCCTACCCCTTCCCTATACAGGTGTAAAACCCCTCTTAAAATTTCAAACACCACTCTAATCTTTAGATGTGACACCATACTTTACTTCTTAACGTTAATAAAATTGTATTTTAATCTTTAGAAAGTGCCTCATATGCCGGTGAAAATGATCAGGTAAATACACAACACACACTATAAGTTACAAACAGTTTTATTGCTAATAAAAGATGTACCTACTGCAAACAACCATTTCTGTTTATTCTAGCTGTATTAGGAAACATATCAAAAAAATGTGGGGCAGAGAAATAACAAGGTAATACACAGCTTTTTTGGAAAGTTTCTTTTCTAATACAACTTTTTTCACCTCGACAAAATACCCCCTTTCCCTCATTTGTTTCACCTAAATCTCGGTGCTAACGCTAGCTGACATCCCATCGACCGATCGCGACTCGAATAATTTCGTACACGATTTAACTGTTTGTCAACAGCGTAGCTCAGACACTGAGCTTACTCATTAATATTTGACCCAACTACGTGAATAAACAATCCTCAATACGGAGATAACGCTTTCGTATTTTTGTTTGGTTTACCACGATGGAAGTTTTTACGACTTTTGACCTCGGAGAATTCGGGTCTGGTGTAGTTTAGTAGTTTTTTGCATGTGTCATTCCTTACCCCCACCTCACTACGTCATTCCAAAATTACGTAACTACGACGTCACAGTGATGTAATGAGACCCTCCAGTCCAAAGTATACGCAATGTCGTCCAAAACGTGCAGGCGATCACCCGAAATCGAGAAAGCTATTTCTCTCGTTTTATCGTTTAATCAAATCCAATATTAAAAGATTGCTGGTGTTAATGAGTTCGTTATCGTCGGCACAGATGTCATTTCCGGCAATCGTAGCTTTTCTTTGACTTGATTGTGACGTCTTAGTAACGTCATTTTTGGATGGCATAGTCAGGTGTGAGTTAGGAATAACATATGCAAAAATCTTTATGCTACGCCACTTGTGGTACGCTAGACCCAAAAATTGTTCGTATAGTTTAAGGTCAGGAATTCGCAACTGTTTATCGCAATGGGCCAAACAAAGAAATATGGTACCTTGGGGGCCGGACCATCAAACAACCCATTAGGTTTCACATACTTGAAGTTCATAGGTTGGGAAACACTGTGTTAAATCGGGAATTTTCCCGGTTTCGCATCGCCAACCAATTAATACACTCTTGTGGTAGGTGGTAGGCATGAGATTTGAACCCAAGAATTCAAAACTGCGTTGCCTATATAGGTAATTCCAATGCTAAAATGTAAGCTGATTCCTAACAACTTCAGTTTTAAAATGTACAGCTCACAGAGGCATTCTGGATGCCGAAAGATAAGTTTCTTTTTATGCATCCTTTTTCAAATTAGTACCAAGTCTCTTACGGGTCACATCAGCGGTTCGGATTATGACCCGTGGGTCGTGTGTTACATTCCCCCTACAACCATTGGTCGGAAATTCTTCTGTCATTACGTGAGCGTACTCGAAACGATTAACTGGTTACTGCACCCGACATGGAATGGCAACCTAACGAGAGGCCTTGTTTACCATCTGATTATTTATCAGCTTTTCTTTTCCCCACATGAAATAATAAGAAAAAAATGTGAATCTTTATGAATGAGTGAATATAATATCAAGCCCACAAAACTTTATAAAATACATTTCAAAAACACGAAAAATATAATGATATAAGTCAGTTACTATTTCTAGTACAGTACTTCATATAGAACAGTGGTTCTCAAACGATGGGTCGGGCCCCACGAGGAGGGCGTGGCCAATTTTTGAGGGGCGTGGAGCTAAATAGAAATATTTGTTAGGTTTAATTTTGCCAGGTTTATTTTAAATATTTACGCTCCATCCACGTATTTTCAACGTGTTTTTGAATAAAACATACTTTTGCCTTACTATCTGTCACCTGTTGCTTATTGTTAGCGAGTTATTTTTGAGGTGGGGCTCGAGACTTGGTAAATTCTAAAAAGAGGCGTGACTTAAAAGTTCGACAAGCACTGATATAGGGAAGCTCAAGCTTACGTTCGTGTCACTTGGATATGCATTTGATCCCATGAAGACATAGAATTTACATCCTAACTTTACCTAGAAGCACGGAAATTACACAATTGGTTAGATCGCATACCAAAGTAAAACCGAAAAAAGGTTGGATATGAAGGTGTCCATGAAGTCTTAAAATTTTAAAATATTCGCAAATTGCAACCAGGTATTTTCAGATACCATATATTGTTTTGGCCCTCATAGATGTATTAAATGAAGTAAAAATATTTGAACAATTACTGATTTAAAAAAAAATGGTTAAGATATATTAAAAACTGACTTCATGACATAATTGGGCAATCCGGAAGTGTGTGCACCAAGATGGCGCACAACCTTAACCCTAACCTAGTACAATACTATGTTCAGGTTGTGCGCCATCTTGGTGTACATACTTCGGGAACACCTAAAATTGAAATTGTAAAAAGACTTTATGGACACTTTATATATTGGAAGGCGACAATAAAAAAGTAAAAGCCTAATTACTGATTAAAAATAACGAAGTAATTAGCGGAAATAATCGAGCGAGACTATTTTGGAAATAGTGTTGCGACCCTGCTTCTAAAGGCTGGGGATTGTAACACGAAGGGAATCGAAATCAGTAGGGCAGTTAAGCCAGCTTTCCATACGGGTGCACGTAACAGGTATAACGCTGCTTTCTGTACAGTAGGCCACGTGTAGTTTACTACAGCCACAATCACAATCGCTAGCCCCCAGAATAAGTAACCGTATTCGATCTCGTCTTGATGCATTTCTGATTTTAAGAAAACCGCGACCGGCATTTTTGCCATTTCCCAAACGAAATCCCCCACGGATTTGTATCTGAACTGAAGAGAGAAAGGTGCCGTGTGGTTTACTGTACGAACAGCCCAAAGCATGACGTTGATTATGTAGATTTTCACGATTTCTCCACCATATGAGAACAGGCTTCTGTTTTCGTCATCTTCAACTTCAACCTAAAAAAAAAAGATTTTATGAGACTGAAGTGCTTGACGTAAATTGATATTTCTCAGTATTTTCCTCAGCTCTACATTTTAGGGAGTGTTCCCAAATAGATTAGGGGTAGATTTGGCACCTCAGAAATACCAATCAATTTACCAAAATGTGATGCATATGGCCAAAATCTGAACAACTCTTACCCGTTTGCTACAAGAAGGGGGAATACTTAGTGGTAGACCAAAAAACAAAACGCAGCCAATAATATAATTTTTGTGAAGAATCGAACATTACTGAAACATCTGAGTACAATCATATAAAAACAGAAGTCGAAGTGTTACCTATTATATTTCTTCAGTTCCATGTTAATTAATAGAGCCGGTTATTATTTAGAAATAAAAAATGGCCCGGATAACACAAGCGAAGACTCCAAAACTTATTTATATGTTAATACCTAATGACTTCGAAACGATGTCCGAGCTATTGTGTCGACCAAGAAAAATTCAAATTGGAAAAACGTATGTCGGTCGCCCACACAAGAATCTCTGGAAGTCTTGATCTGAAATACTTTAATTCTAGCTCAAACCGGACTCGATGGCATAGGTAGCCAATTATAGGTAATTTATCTTCAAATAATAGTTGGAATTTACAAACGTGTTTTAATTTAAGAAATAGACAGGGCTTTTTTGTTTTTGTCTGGCCTGCATTTATAGATGATTTTAAATTCAGACCACAAGCTTACCTGTCCAGCACGTTTAGCGTTGAGTATACGAAAGATGGCGAGGTTATTCTTGATGGAGCTGCTCTGTGGACTCGTTATGTCGGTATGAGTCACTTGACAAGTTGGGCAAACAGTTCTAAAGTAAAAACGAGAATATCGGTTGGAAACCGAAGACTTATCGATCGATAGTTAGGGGATCCCCCAAAACGAAACTGCAGTTTCGATTCATCCGCTCTTGTAACTTGCGCACTGCGCATCGCACACACACACTCGGCGGGTTTCAAAATTCTCTCGCTTTACAAAAATCTAGATCACTATATCAATAATTGATTGATAACTCGCTAATTATACGACATAATTCGCCCAAAATCAATAGGGATCTGGTCATAGATAAGATGAATGCACATGCAAAATCTGGAGCAGATTCAATCTCGCTTTCGTGAGATATCTCGTGCATCTAACAGACACACACACAGACAGACAAATACCTATCAATATACTTACCGATCTTAAGATCGATAAGTAAAAAGCAGTTGAGATAGGACTTCAAGTTTTCAAGGGCAGTAGTACGGATTCAGGGGCTAATACTGTTAAGTCTAATACTTCAATCGCTTTTTGGACAAGAAATAGACATACATATGAATCGTTTTGTTGGTACTCCTGAAGTATGCGCACCAAGATGTCGCACAACCTGAACCCTAACCTGATACACAACCTGAGTTCCGGTTGTGCGCCATCTTGGTGCGCATACTCCAGGAGGTCCGTTTTGTTTTTATGTGTTTGTTTCTTCCTATCGTTATGAAATATAATGCTTCTCTCTTCAATTACTGGACCGATTGCGTTGACATTTTTAGTAGTCAAAGATTGTATTTTTTACTAGGGGGCTGTTATTTTTATTTGTTCCTAAATGTCTTGTAAGATTTGATATTTCTTTTAAAATGCGCTGTTCAATTTTTAATTAAGGGAACACGTTTTATGACATCGTGACTACTGTCTTCCACGTTTTTATGACAACGTGGCGGCTGGTACCGGTAGTCTACTCTGTACTGTGATAGATTGCATACCCGTAACACAACGTTTTTTATTTCGTGTCCATATATTTGAGCATCGCTTTCTTATTTAATATAGACTGAAGTTGAAGCCAAATTGCTTCAAATTGGTGGTCGTAGGCTATGTTACCAGTAATATTCTTGTGGGTAATGACGTATCTAAGTAAAATGGCGCCAATGGCAAAGTCTCAAAAGGCCACCACTTGATCGTTTTCTGACAATTTAAAATGAATGTTATTGAAATGAGATACTCGTATGTTACTGTTTGAGTAAAAAATTTCAGTTATTTCGAATTTGAAATTCTTTCATTGAAGCATTTCACGATGACTTTTTGCCCTTTTCTCGCCCTGTTCAAAAGGCGCCCATGACACGAGCCATGGTTGCCATACCCTATATACACCACTGCTTCCGGGTCTGGTAAGTTTCAGCTGTATTTTGACGTAAAATCTCGTTTGACTCAAAATTCTGTCAATATAAAGATGAAACTCACCCTTCTGAATCCACAATTTTATTGACGCATCTTTTACAAAACGTGTGTTGACACGGAAGCATCTTTGGCTCCCGATTTCCCGTTCTTTCAAACAATTCTTGGCAGAACTCACACTTCATTATTGCGTCCATTTTTTTGTGAAAATTACTTGAATTCTAACGTTTTACGGAAAACTATTTTGAATAAAAAAAATTTTCAGTGGTTTTGTGGTTTCACGCCTTCATTCTCAGTCAAATCTGTGGACTCGGAGTTTGTCAAGTCAGACCGTAACAACTACCGGGTCCGACCGGAAATCGTCTTTGCAAAAAAAAAACTTGACTGAAGTATCAATTCCTTGATAGACGTTTTCGCAGTTTACCGACTTTCCTCCCCGAAGGATAAATGTGAAAGTCCAATCCTTTTCTATCATTGTAAATCTAATCTGATTGAGATGGGCCCAACTTTCCTAAATAATAACCTTTTTCAGGACTGGGTGCTCCCGAAGTATGTGTACCAAAATGGCGCACAACCTGAACATAGTATGTGTACTGTATCAGGTTAGGGTTCAGGTTGTGCGTCATCTTGGTACACGTACTTCCGGAGCGCCCAAGACTGTGGTTTTATACTCAAGATAAACACTCACTGCAGGCTGTTCCGTGTGTTTTAATTCTATTCGCCGTGTTGCATCAGACGAAATAATCGTGAGCGGAACCTCTCTACACGAAGAGCCACAATAAGACAAACGAAGGTACGTAATCATTGAGGCGTTTTTGCTAATAAAAAACACGTATCGTTCATATGCGATTTTACGTAAGGTTGCATAGAATAGACTGAATTTTGTACGCTACCAGGGTGTTCGGTGGATTTTGAAAAAAAACAAATTTATTAATTATTTGGTTGCTATAAGCATGATTTCTGTAGAATAGGGCCTATTCGTTTTATTCGTTTAACCGCGAAATCATACTAACTTTATTATTATTTTTTAATGCGACACCCATGAAAGGGTCGCGTATGTAACTGAATATGTGCTTCATTCAATACAGACAATATTTAGCGTGCCATTCAAATGACAACAGAAACGAACATACAGGGTGTTCATATGGAACCATTACAATTTCAATTTTGTTATGAAGTCAGTTCTCAATATATCTTAACCAGGTTCGTTGCTTTAATTAATCAGTAATTGTTGTAACTTTTCTTCATTTAATACATCTGTGATGGCCAAAACAAAATATGGTATCGATAAATTCCCTTTGCAATTTAAAAAAAAAAATAGGCCTTAATGTCCGATAGCCATCTGCAAAGGAGGCCATTCAAAATAGCGACTGGGATCCATTCTTTCTAATGTCAACCTGCTGTTTGTATGGACGCCCATTAGTCCACAACTAAAGAGTTCAGTCAAAAAGCGATTGAGACCATAAATACATCCTTATTCCTAACCTGCTGTCTATATGACGGCACAATAGCCCTCTTTATGAAGAATACAATTCAAAATGGCAAGTGGGACCACATATCCATCTTTATTCTTAACCTGCTGTCTGTATGGAAGACTAACAGCCCACAACTGAAGTGTTCATTTAAATGGCGATTGAGACCATAAATACATCCCCATTTCTAACATGCTGTTTATATAGCAGCACAATAGCCCTATTTATGATGAAGGCCACTGAAAATGCCGATCGGGACCATCCATACTCATCACCATCCGTTCTCGTCCGTTTCATATAACTAAATTTTCTGGCGAATTTTTGTACCAAAAGTTTTATATCAAAAAATTAAACAATAAAAATCTACTATCATTGTTAATCTAATCGGATTCAGGCAGGACTATTCCAAATATTGACTTCATTCAAAACTCGAGATTCGAAATACCCTGCAAGCTTCTGTAAATTAATTCTAATCGCTCTTCTTAAACAAACGCTCATTCTGTATGAAGCCCCATGGTGTAGACAAAGTATATTCATTTAAACGAGAAAATTGTCCAATCCACGAAATCACCGAGGCATCATTACTAATAATAGAAAACAAGAATATTCCGTATGCTAATTGCGTGATTTATACAGTTATATGGGTTAGACTAAACCTTATACGTTGTTTGGTGGATTTGGGAATAACACTGTAATACATATCTTGCTGCTATGGAAATTATTTATGTAGAATAGGGCTTATTCAGTTATCCGTTTACCTCACAAGTAATGTAACTTTGCTAGTATTTTTAAAAGTGCCTGGCGTGATGCGATACCCGTGAAAGAAGCGCGATATGTAACTGTATATGTGGCTTTGTTTTCGATATAGGCGAATGTTCGCGATGCTTGTAGTTATGTACGGTACCCGGGTCACCTCCGGACAAAGGGACTGTGCGTAATGGTGCGACGTTTTCCTATAAGTTGGCGCTCGTGTCACCAGCGCAGTGGTTCGTGAACGGTAGAGTGCGCCCGAAAGTGGAGAGTAGGCAATTTTTCGAGGGGGCTTGAAGCTAAATAAAAATATTTGTTAGATTTATTCTTGCCCGCCTTATTTTGCATATTTACATTTACGTTCCATCCACGTTTTGTAACGTGTTTTTTGAATAAAATGTACTTCAGCCTTACTATCTGTCATTTGTAGCTTATTGTGAGCTAGATATTTTTGAGATGGGCGGGAGACTTGACAAATTCTAAAAACGAGGCGCAGCTTAAAAAGATTGAGAATCGATGTGATAGCGTATTACGACAGGGATGGACAGACTAGAGCCCGTTGAAGCATTTTTTGCGTCGCCTTATCTTGTATGTTCTTTGTGAGAATGTGGTTTTGTAGGAATAGATGTTTGCAAGAATTCAATTTTTAATAACAAATTTTTGGGAAATAGTAACTTCACTTCCATGCTGTAGTTTACCACTGTTGTACGTGACTACCATTTAAATAATTACGAGTTCTGTTTTTGAACATTGCAGAGAAATCCTAGCCTTGTCGGTAAATAAACGATGGAAGAAATACTGAAGTGCAGCTCTTGTGAAGAGAAATTTGAAACAACTGGAACAAAAGAACCACAGGTGCTTCCATGCCAGCACACATTTTGCAGGGCTTGCATTTCGACACTCATAGGGCAAGATAGGTGAAATATTGATTTCTTTTTAGACTTTTATAACACGTTCGTTGTTCGCTTTTTTTCTTACAATTTTTTTAAAACAAATTTCTTTCATTAGAAAGTCAAAAATTACTGATAGATACTCGCCATCCTTCACTGATGAGAATACAGTAGATAACGGGAGCATTTAATTCAAAGTCAATACAAATTCCCAATTTATGTTTGCAAAGGGAAAGGAAAAAAATTTGGGTCGCGGAATTGAAGCTTGGGACATCTTTCCATTAGAATCGAAGTCGGTGTCGTATTTTCAAATTTGTAGTAGAAATAGAAATCACGAGGCGCAGTTCTCACCACTTCATGGCAGCTCCTGCCACGAACGTACCACGCTGTCTCCTGCCATGATTTTATGGCGCTATTACCGGTATATTTACAAACCTAAACCTGATCCCGAATCCATCTAAACTGTATTCATAAGAAAAACGTTCCAACTCACCCAATATTTATCACCATCAGCAGATCAGGAGCAGCCCTGCTATTACAGCCGATGGTTACGGCAGCAAAATTGGTGTTATTCGATTTGCTGTCGTAACTACGGCAGCTAAAAAGTCAGTCGCCGTGGGTTTGGTCTTAGCGGTCGTGGTTTGGAAATGCCGCCATGGTTTTGCGGCAGCTCTAGACGCCACAAAATACCTGTCTTGCACTTGGAAATCGCAGTCGAAATTTTGAATTCCACGAAATCGAATTCCAGTGCTTTCATGATAATAATCAAAGTGGGATATTACTACAGAACATCGACAAAATTTTTAAGCTTTCCAACCTGTCTATTGAAAGAAAACTAAAAAGGTTTTAATTTTGTCAATATCACTTCAAGTCTTATGGGAATCAAATTTCATCCAAAAATTTTCTGCTTAGTAATTTTTTTCATGGGAACACTTTTTAGTCCTATGGTAACACTTTATTACGTGTGGTTCCTTATATGTAACGTGGAAACATTTTTTCCTGCTTGTTTGCCGCTTTATCTGCAAACATTATGCTAAGCTGAGGCCATTACCGGTACCAATAGGAGATCTTCGCGTCCATACATTTCAACATTGCTTCCAAGTTTTCACATGCAATTGTCTCTCATGTTTACAGTACGAAATGTCCATTATGTCAGGAGGTCCATGACTCAATAACTTCCGCTAATCGCAATGCTGTCCGGAACAATTTGACAGTTCTCAGTTTACTTAAGGTGAGATTCTCAAATATATATTTTTGGGCTCTCTGGAAGTGTGTGTACCAATATGGAGTAACTAATTTTGTTTGCCTACTTTACATCAAGTTGTGAAAAAGGACTGAAACTTATGGGCATGTGTTATATTCGCTTGGCTGACACAGACAGTCACCAAACTCGTAATAGAACGAAAATAGGGAAAATCGGAATGAAATTATGGCCTAACCCTAACCTGGTACACACACTACGAGAGTAGCTATTTGTGAACACGATACGGACATATAGATCTTTTTGGCTATTGTAAAGACTTCAAATCAAATTTAAAAATACTCATCCAAATAAGCATCACTACCATGGCGGGAATAAGAAGATACAATATATACCCTGTAAAATATATAAATTTTACCCGTGAATTTTTTAGTATAAAATATTACAAAACTGTTTAGAATCCAGAGTTTTTAAAAAGTTTTAGAGAACAAGTATTAAAGAAAACAAGTATTTGCGTTAAGTATTAAATTTGATTTAATATTTTACAAACAGAAAAATACAACCGTCAATAGAAGAAATGCAAAGCTGGAATTTTTGAAAATTCACATCGTTCATGTGATAATGGCAATCATGATATGCGTGGTCTTTGTGCCAAATTTTAACGTTATGGAATTGAGAAAACCTTCGAATTTTTTGAGTTTCATTATAATGCCCTTTTATCCTGCGATTATATTGAAAAGAGACATGGAAGACATTCCAAAAAATATTATCTTAGATCTAATTCTTTGGGTGAATGCCATTGGCATTGTAACAGTATTAAACGGTATATCACCAGTTATAAAACAGTTAGTAATTCGCTTCTTGAAGGCTCCGGTATGGAAGGTTGGCAT